TGATTTCTTTAATCTCATTACCAGCCTACAATGACAGGCAAACACTGCCCGTCATGTGCTATCAACCAGAGAGTATTCTATTGCTTGGTATCAATCAGCTGAATGAATTTCATGGCAGGCAAGCACTACCTGTCTTGTAATATTTTATGTATTAACTAGAAAGCATTTAATCAAACCCTGAAAGGTGACGCCCTTCGCTAACACGAGTGAAAAACGTCTGCGCATGCTCTGAATCCGTATGCAAATTAGTCAAAACATAAGTAAATTTGACTTTCAAACATGCCTGATAAATTGGACTTCACAAAATGCCAAAACTTAGTGTCCATACTTGAAACGTAAGACTAATTCTTTAATTTTGTGTTTGTTAATACAGTATCTTGGTCTGACAAAAGTATACTCTTGAACTTTTTCGTATACTCGGAGAAAACAAACATTTATTTTCTCACTCAAACTCTCTACATAATTCTTAGAAAACGTGCTGAAGTGCACGCATGTGCAAACGTTTTTCTCTAGTGTCCCCTTCGCTAGGCTACGTAACAACAAATTACGTCATTCGTTATATCTGATCATTTATTCAGTATAGTTAAAGAAATCCATCGTAAGTCCACTACCTTTCATTTCTTTATCAAAACGCTCCTCAAATCTCTTGTTCTGTTCATCCGTGAAATATTTCGCCCAATCTCCAACCTTGCCTTTCCTGATGAAGTTAAACTCGAACCCAGGTTTCTTCCCAAACCAGCTGTGGTCGAACGCCGGGCGATTTTGCATGGCTCTGAATGTCGTCTGCTCAACGATTCGCTGAAGTAGCTTTTCATTGACGGGTTTGTTGACAAACGATGCGATCTTTTGGATGGTTTTCTTAGCATCCTGAAAAAATGGTTGCCAGGGATGTTCAAACAAGTCACGTGATATGACTGTTTCTTTCTAGTTATTGTCTGTCAGTTTGTTTATATGGCTCTTAAGTAAGTTCTTTAACTCAATCTACAACACACGGAGTAACATTGCGCGCATTGTATCAGGCAGTCAGTCGATGTTGCGAGCCTCGTCTCACGACGCAATGTTGCTGAAGTAGAACAAGATCTTACTTCGGGAACTTTGCGCGCAATATTGCACCGCGTGTCTGTAACGCAATTGCCTTTAGCGCGCAGTCGGTCGATGTTGCGAGCCTCGTCTCACGACGCAATGTTGCTGAAGTAGAACAAGATCCTACTTCGGGAACTTTGCGCGCAATATTGCACCGCGTGTCTGTAACGCAATTGCCTTTAGCGCGCAGTCAGTCGATGTTGCGAACCTCGTCTCACGACGCAATGTTGCTGAAGTAGAACAAGATCCTACTTCGGGAACTTTGCGCGCAATATTGCACCGTGTGTCTGTAACGCAATTGCCTTTAGCGCGCGTTCTTAAGGTACCGTTTTTGCTCTATTAAGCCCCCAGCTCCAAATAAGCCCCTCTTCTAATAAGCCTGACCCCAGTCTGAGGTGCCAAAATTTATATAAGCCCTCAGCCTCTAATAAGCCCCCACCCCTAAGGAACGCTGTGGTCCTTTTCCCTTGTCAGGCCTTATCTGAAGTCATTTTCTCTATTGAGATTATGGATAAAGATAACGATGAATTTCCAAATTGGAAATTAAGCCACTAATAAGCTCTCCTTAAATAAGCACCCAGCCCAAAGGGGGCTTAATAGAAACATTTCTGCTGTCTGTCTTTGTTTCTGTCTGTCTGCCTCTTTCTCTAGAGCTCTAACGTATTATACACTTATTTCAATAAAGCATCATGGGAAACTTTTCATATCAAAAAAGCATATATATACAAAGCTTTTTTAATACAAACTGCAGCTCGACGATGCTCAGAAGAGGTGAGACTGCAACCGGTAAAAGATTCGCAAGTCCATGAACAGTTATCAAGCGGTTGAACGTGTAAAATGAATCTACCCATAATCCTTGTCGGCCTCAGCTTTATAGCTTTTAAGGCGACTAACTTTATTGAAATAAGTGTATTCACATCTCCTATAAACCTGGTTCACGTGTATAACGCAAATGCAAGCGCAATGAATGCAAACTTTTTTCCATTTTTGTTGTTGTGCTAATTGTGTTTGCATTTTCGTAGTTGTAGTTCACAAGTAATTTTGCTTGCGTTTTCGTTGCCCGTGTGAACCAGGCTAGAGTGCAGGAACTTACTTTCTTCAGGTCTTCGTACTTGATGACGAGGATCTTTGGATCGTGTCTGTGTTGCCACCATTCGCGCGTGTATTGGAACCAGCAACCGCCGACCACTTCAGAGACAGAGAAGATAGGATTAGGGAAGTATTTGAGATACTAGTAGTTACTTCTAGTGTTGTATTTGAATGGTACGTCAACCGCAAGTGTTAATAACTTCACTTTTGGGTTTCGCGATTTCAAAGTCTGTCTTGAGTTCCCTGTGGATGAGTTGACTTCACTGACAGTATGAAGGGACAGATATGAATTTTGTTTTTTTCATGCAGATTTTGCTTGGAAAATAATTTCCGCCTGGAGCGCGGATTTTGCTTTTTTTCGGAGAAAAATTTGCTTGGAGAAACAGTCATATTATCTTTACTGACAATGTTTTGAATGAAATCTCCAATAAACAGAACCCCAAAGAGAAATTATTTAGGCTTCAGGTTGACATTATTAAGGGACGGAATAATTATTAGAGAAGAGGAGAATCAGGCTGGTTCGGGGAAGCGGGGGTGGGGGATACAAGGAAAAGTAGGTTAGAGGGAAATTTGGGAACAGTGTACCTTGATTTGTACCACCCCTCCCCCCTCCGGTCTAATAACTGTCCCATCTCTAAAATCTGTATTTCATAGTTCTTACATTTTCCATTCATGAAATGCTCGAAAAATTCATCCCAGGTGCAATCACAGTCCAGGATAGCAAAGCCGTTATAGTGATGATAATACGACACAGCACAGTCTTTAGGGTTACGAACAACCCAAATAATCTTCGCGCCGTTGTTGTTGTTGATGTCTCCCTTTGGGACAAGGCTATAAGGTAAATGTGTCTTCAGAAGACGAGGCGATGAGAGGTTTTCGAATGCTTTTTTTACATCTTCAGGGGAGTGAAAGTCGCCAGAAGAGCTTGGCATATACAAGAGTTCAATGAACTTCACTTTCTGATCAATTCTGGTATTACTGATCTGAGCATCGTTGAATATCTGCCATACAATCTCCATTGCCCATGTTGTGCCTAGAAAAATTGCAGCAAGCTTATAAATACAGCTATTTTTAAAAGAAGTTGGTGACTGAGGTTCTTGTTGAATATGGCTTACTGAGAAATGATATGTTCATATGTAAATAATGTCAACGCAGAAAGAATTATGCCTGAAAAAACGTCCAGACAAAATTTGATATCGTTGTGACGTCACGCAAATTGTATTCACATCACCCAAAATGCAGTTCGGGCTTTCCTTTCCCTTTTGGTTTTCTTTTTTCTTTTTTTTTTTTTCTGATTTCATTTCTTTTGCTTAGTTTTGCCTTTTTCTTTTCTTTTCTTTTTTGCTTCAAGCCGAAATATATAAGTAAAGACATATAGAGCCTACTCCTCTGACTTTGGACTTCCTGTGTTACGGAGGAAAAATATATAACAACTCTTTCGTCCTCAGTCCCATCACGATCTATGCCAAAGGAAGCCCAAGGCGTTGCTTGCTGAGGAGACCATAAACATACCAATCACGCTTTATTCACTCTACTCTTTCCTTTTTCCCTATGTTTTTCATTTATTTTCTTTTATCCTTATTTTCTGTACATTATATCTTAACGTTTTTTTCAAACATCAAAACATCAAAAGAACAAAGGCACGTCACGCTAAGGATTGTGGGCAAGACTTCGCAGGCGCGTCATTTCCCGCCATTTTCCCCAGCGTTTCAACTTCTTTGGTTCTCGTCAAGGTATTTAATCTTTAAAGGTAAGATTTTCTCTTTATCTCCTTATTTTATCCTTTATTTTACCTCTCAAATAGTTATTGAAGTTTTCTAAATACTTGTTTAAGCCTTTTGTTAGTCTTTAGTCGTGTATATTTTGCATTTTGGTTTGTTGTGAAGCGAAAATTCGGGGGAATTTTATTGACAAGAAACAACCATAGTTTACAACCGGAATTTGTACAGGAATATCAAACACGACCTTGAGTACAATTCAGTATTAATAGTTATTGTAATTACACATAGCCTCTAGGCGAGTGCAATTTAAGAACTTTCAAAACATTACGAGTATCTTTTAAATAGGAATTGTACTAGTATAACGGGTTGTGCGATTTCCCAAAATTTGCTTCAACAAAACTTGTTGAAGAAAACACATTTAATATCTGTCTTTTTTGCCAAAGTAAGAGAAATCAAGAGAGAATTCTTTTCGTATTCAAGCAGTGAATAAAAACTATATTCTTGAAGAAAGGCTGTTGTACAAGGCTAAAATCTTGTTATTCAGAAAGTTTGGAAGTTGAGATGACCGATGAAAGAGGAATCAAAGTGTTAACCCAAAGCAAAACTTTTATTCGAAAATGAGGTTTAGGCCTTCCTTTGCTTATTCCCCATACATTTTCTATAAAAAAGCCTGACAAAGCAAAATGCAACAACAAATCTTTGTACAATTGAAAATACCGCTTCAAAAAGGCATTTTATCATAGTACACCACTTTCTAACTGTTTAAAAAAGGTTTTGAGTGTTAACCCAAAACGAAAATTGGGATCAAAACTCATACGAAAGTCTAGTTTTTGGCGCTTTTGGCCATTATTGCTCATTATTGAAAAGATAAATTCCTCTAAAATGCATAAAAGATTATTCGTAAAGGATATGTTTTGTAAGTTGGATATAAGATTTTTACTGATTTTTATAAGATTTTTACGTTGGCTCCCATGTGTGCTCCTAGGGAATACAATTACGAATTAATTGTACTCCTCTCGACCAATCAGAATCGAGTAATTTTATTGAATGTGCCACTAGGAAAAATTCAACGTTGTTTACCGCACTTTTCCTCTTTTGCGACCAAAACGAAAACAATACTATAAATAGCCGCTATCATTATGCATACTATTTTTTCAAGGGTCATCTGTAAAACTCTTAATAGCGTACCGAAGTGTGGCGTCACGGAAAACTAAATTTTGCGTTTGACAATTTTTGATCCTCGATTTCGAAAGAACATCAAGGGAGACGTTAACAAGCAAATTTCAAGAATATAGGCTAAAAAGCCACCGAGATATGGCCGTTTGAATATATAATTTCGGCAAATTATATATTCAAACGGCAATATCTCCGTAGTTATTCAACCAATTCCCCTCAAATTTACTTGTGAGCGTCTTTCTTGATGTCCTATCAAAATTCACAATCAACATTATATGATACGGTGAAAATAATATTTTGTGAAGTCAATCACTTCGGTACTCTATACCAAGGCAATAGTGAAAATTAGCATAACAAATAAAGATACCGAAAAGGCCGGATTCTGAAAGCCATGCAAAACATCATCATGTAAGGATGACAAAAAGGGCCCGGGGGGGGAGTACTCCGCCACGATTTGGGTAGGGGTGTTCCGTTGGGATTCTGAAACGGGAACCCTGTTTATGACAAAAAAAAACACTCAAATTTGTAAACCCTGTTTATGACAAAAGATATAATTAATTGGACTAAGTTTCGGTCAATACAAAATTAGAAACCCTGAATATGACAGGAAACTCAGGAAGAACTTAAAACTTGAATGAAATTGCATACCCTGTTTATGACAAGAAGCTCGAAAAACCATACCCTGTTCAGCGGATCATCCCCGTATAGTCAAAATATGGGAGTACCCCCCCCCCCCCCCCCCCCCCCCTGGGGACCAAGGGTCACATGTAGTCTCCAACGCAGCCGCTATTAGCGACGACACTAATAGTGGCTGCGTAGTGCTGTGCTATTTATATAAATGTGGCACAGACAACTAACAAAACAAACAATGAACAAACAACTGAATCTTCTTTTATATACGAGAACGCTTCCTCGACCATAAACCATTAAAATTTAATAGAGGCTCAAGCTTATTAGTCCATCCACAGCGAATAATGAGATGGCGTTCTTTTATATGAAAAAAAAAAAAAAGATTCCAACCTACAAAAACACGTTGAAATTTATCTTTAGTTTTGTTGACATCAGCTTGTCATGATAATAAATAATTATATATAGCAGGTCATTTTTAGAACTAAATTTATCGTAAGAGTAGCGAAACCTTACAAAATACTTATGGGTACTTGAGTTGAAATGTTTATGATTAATGATGGCCAAACGCGTGTTTTTTTCACATTATTGAATTTATAATTTAAGAACACAAGACAACATAGAGTCGTAATGGCGTTCATTAACCCGCGAAATAGATATGAGGTCAAATAAGGGCTACTGAGTAGTTAACGATGTTATTGTTATTAGAATATTGATTCTGTTGTTGTATATGTACTGTTAAATCAACTCAACTGACTGACAGATGGCGAGAAGCTATGATTATAAGACTGACCTGACTTGGGCCATGTGGCAATAATTACATCAGTGTTTTTAGTTTCTAGTTTAGAAACAGTTTGTAGTATCTCTTTCGTTGCCCCAGGCATATGAATAACTCCATCGATCTCACTAAATAGAACTGGATGCTTGTACTTTAGTGGCACGGCTCGATCCTGAGTCTGTATCACCGACATGTTTATGAAGGAGTCGAGGGATGAACGATGAATGATAAATAGAATACGAGTCTGTGGTCTTGGACAGTTATTATTATCCGGCTGCCATAAAGACCCCTTGCATGTGACGTCATAGCAACTCAATTTGGAGGACAAAACACAATAATTTCAATCTCCTGAGAATTGGAATCCTATTGTTAGGTCCTCCAAATAGACCCCTTGCATGTGACGTCAAAGCAGCTCAATTTGGAGGACAAAACAAAATAATTTCAATCTCTTGAGAATTGGAAACCAATTGTTATGTCCTCCAAATTGAGCTGCATTCCGAAGTGCAGCAAGGGGTCTATTGGTAGGAGAGTCCTGTAGGAGTCCACAGTAACAGAAAAGTTTCATGATTGGTTTAATTTAACTTGAAGAAAGAAAACGCGTCGATTGATCCTAGCGAAGGGTCGGCGCGACTTTTTCCGTAATCAAAAAAGTAATTCGAAATTTAATTAGCTCGAAACCACTAAAACAAAACAATGATCCGTCACGAATTCTCTTCTTATCCAGAGATAATCGAAAGCTCTGTTATATAGCTACAGTGTTGGTATGCTATATATACCTTTCCAAAAAAATCTGGAATTCTAAACATCATATATACTTAGCGAATTCACCTTCATTTCCATAGAGCAAATTAATGACTTAGATAATATTGATGCTAAGCTCTTGTCTCGAGAGGCCTATTGGGCCACGCAGTTACGTACGTTACGTCCCAATGGCCTCAACAAGAGACAAGAATTTATATCTAAACGTAGAATTCAGTTTTCATTCTAGTGCTTTTCCTTTTTTCGCTTAATAGTAGACATTCAGTATTACTTTTAGGCTCCGTTCTATTCACTATTTATAAAACTTTAGTATTTCGGGTATATATTGTTTGTTTGACCTTGCTTATCTCGTGCTCTATAGCTTCCAGCGTGTTTATATCACGGTACAGAATCGCGCTTTCTAATGTCAACATAGAAGAAATTATGCCAGAAAAACGTTTCACAAAGTGTAGGAAAATTTCATGCTGTTGTGAACTTTCGCTGATTGCATTCATATGATCCATAATGCATTTCGGGCTTGGTATGCAAGGCATGGAACAAAACCTTCACCAACCTTTTTGAAATAGCTGTATGGGCTTCACATCAATATACTTTGAAAAAGCCAAAGTTAGTTAAAAGACTTTAATAAACAATCAATTTGAATGTCAACGTTTGTTAGTAAATCATGCACAACGGATAAACGAAGCCGATTGATGAATCACACCAATCAATATCACTTACTGCGGTCATTAACTTCCACGATATTAACAATACCGTTTCTTAGCAACGGTAACTATGGTTACACATATCAGTTTCCAATACTTTAATTCTCTACATAACCTTGAGCATTCATAGTTCCGACTCAGACAATAGTGAACCAATCACCGTTGCAGCAGTTTTCCCAGTGGAATTAAAATCTTGTCCCACAAACAACTACACAGTATTTGTTTTAAAAAGTATTACAAGGAGTACAAGGCAATTTTCATTTATTTTCTCAGGACATGAAAAAATTTAAGCAATTTATGATTCATTTTYTGCAGTCAGAGTTTTGAATTCTGAGATATTCTAGATAATTTGTTAACGGCTTGTGGGACATAGCAACGGTAACTAAGCGGAGTCGTAACCATGAATTGCAATTCAGGAAATGTCATTAATGGATTATTTTAACTTCATAACATTATCTTTCTCGTATTCTGTATTTAATTTCTTTCTAGTAAGTTGAATATTTTTAAATTTTCGTCCTTCCTCGAAACAACTCAATCATCGCTTCCATTCATAAGGCAGCCATTTTGAAATGTAACCAAGCCAAGATCAGATATCAGAGCGAGGTTATTACTGTTACCGTATTCATACACCATATTCATATCGCTTAAATGCGCTGGTACTGATTAACACGTAAACGAGGCCAGTGGTCCCAAGAAAACAAATGCAAGGGCCGAAAAGTAGATGATGTATATTTTTGGACATTTTCTCACTGGCATTTTGAGAACACAGCCTTCGTCTGATTTAGATTTAATACAATTTCAGGCAGTACGAAAATTCTCGTTTTAACGTTTGCTAGCACAAGCATCTCGAGCGTTCTCGTTGAAAATAGTGTATGAAATCGTACAAGGCACGTAAAGGGTGGAGATACCATGACTGGATGGGACTATTTATATTCTAAAACATTAATAATAAACGGAGATAATAGATTAATAATCTACCCTAAAAAAGTTACTCGATATAGACCCCTTGTGCAGTATGTCATAATTAAGAAATAGAAAACGTGCGCGCGTGCTGTGTGCAGTCATAAAGCACGCGGGGATTGGCAGAACACGAGAGAAGTATTAGGAGACTTCTGGACACTTCTCGAGTGTTCTGTCAATCCCCAAGTGCTTAATAACGGCACACAGCACAGCAAGCAATTTTTTTTTTTCTTTTATGAAATACAGATTACAATAACCGTTATTTTAGATAGGAATGACGCAACGGAAAGTGCGCGCGTGTGCAATGTGCTCTCATAAAGCACGCGCTCCAAACCAATCAGAACGCGACATCAATAACAGTTATTTTATAATTCAGCTCAATTTGGAGGACATAAAAATAAGTTTCCAATTATCAGAATATTGAAATTCTTTTGTTTTTGTCCTCCAAATTGAGCTCCTTTGACGTCGCATTTCATAATATAATTTGACAAACTTGCTAAACTCAAAACTTCCGAAGTCCTTTTTCAGTAGTTTGACCACATGATTCAGGTTTCTTATACCATACAGGCTGGTCAGCTCGCCAACGCTGCTAGGCTAGTATTGTTAGACCTAATGAGAAGTGTTTTTATATCTGCGCCGTAGATGACGAGAAAGAGACAAATTTTTTGAGTGTTCCTCCGCGTCCCTGATGTACACTCTGGTAGACCGCCTTACCACTGCGCATATTGTAAGCTCCGAGCTCCATGGAACTAGGACGCATATCATCCAACTGAAGTACATCCGGGGACTCAGAATTCATAGAATGGCGGTAAATTTCGATGTCTGGGATACTGCGCTTGTTGCGACACCGCTGACACATAATACAGCTGACGTAGGTCCTGCCTGTGCGTCTTAGTAAGAGGAGGACGACCACGATGACGAGCAGTAGTAACGCAACGATTGATGCAACGACTAAGATTATGAACTGTTCGCTGTATTCGTACGTGGTGACACGAGTGACATGCGCAACGCTTTCGTTTCGCCACTTGTAGGTGATGAGAGACGGAGGCTCGTTTGACTGCGGACCGACTGGAGAAAGAGTAGCGGTTTTGTCTTTGGTTGAGATCGTAGAGTGCACGGTCACGCCACCTTTTTCGGACGAGATAGACGAGTGTATTGTCACCCCATTTTGAGATCCATTCTTAATCTTGTGCTTTACCACAGATTTCACTAAGGTCGAGTTGTCGTGTCCAGATATCGTAGTGGTTACTGTCACGTGACCCCCATGGTGGGGACTCACAGGAGTGAGAGCAGGTACCTTTCCAGTAGTTTTATAAGTACTTATGGGTCTTTCAGTCCGTGGGCTACCTTTACTACCCCCAGACCCCCACACGGTCGGGATAAACGGAGGTTCGGTAGGTGGAGGCTGAGTTGGTGGAGGGTTGACAGGCCTGCAAGCAGACGCCACGATGTTGGCACTCGACGCGTGATGGGTGGATTTTCCACTGGATCCGAAGCACTCCAGAGGACCAAGAGTGAACATTGACTGGGAGGCTTCTTCTGTGAACTGTAACATGCTGACCGGCAATGAATTTTTGTCCGTAAGGTATCCTAGCAACGGGGGAAAAGAGCGTTACTATGGTTACAGCTATTGCGAATCAAGAAATCAATCGAAACTATCCTTGAGAATCGAAGGAAGATATTCTGTTTTTGAGTTCACTCACCAAAACGTTTTGACGTGATTTTCCCTATTTCAGAATCTTATACAACACAATATATTTCTAAAGTGCGCACTGCTTTAAGGTGGCTGGACTCCCTCACGCTTGACCGCTACCTTCCACATTTGGAACGCTGGTGCATAAACGTGTTTCATCCGATTGCAAATCTTTTTTGCACATAAGTCACATAAAGAATGAATTAATGTTTGATGCAGTTTTTAATGAGATCGGACATCATAACAAGTGATTATGATGAAATATTTATTTTCGTTTAGAAAACAATTTTAGCCTTGCAGAGCGTTCAACACTAAAATGCTTCGTACCACATAATTATATACTAGATGCCTCCATTCGTAGGGATTTTTGAAAAAATCTATAAAGCTAATTATGAGATATTTGAGATTATTTAAATGTAGTGCATAATCTACTTCAAAACTAAACAATGGATTTGATACGGCCGAAAGTAATATATTTTCCGTCACGTTTACGGTCACGTCACGGTCACGTCACGGTCACGTCATACAAAACGTATACGAACTTTGCTCTTTACCTGCATCTTCACGCCACTTGTCGTCTCCAATATCACAGTTGCACAGATTAATGGGGTTATCACAAGTACCCGTCACACCACAAGCACAGATATCTTTATTCGGTGGAGCCCCTCCCCAATAGTTCTTCAGTACGCCAGTACTAGACACCCACTGTGCGTTAGATGGACCTACAGGAGCGTTGAGTATCTTTGATTTGTAGCAATTGAAGCTTATGTACTGTCGGCAGCTTGTACTTTTCCTTATAAGAGTTCTGATGCTTACTAGGTCTGCGTTTTGGTATGTTATGCGGTGAAAGTAGTTGCCGTTGTAGGGACTTGTTCCTTCGGGCACGAGTTGTGTCGCCTGGAAAGATAAAAAATATATAATTGAATAACATACGTTATCTAGAGGGTTTGCACCATTAGTGAGAATCTTGAATTCTTTCTTATTTATGTAAATCAGACTTGACCAGATTCAAATGTTCCTGCCCCCTGCATGGCTGCCATCACGTGATGTTGCAAAACCTTCATACTAGGATAAGCCTAGTGTAGACTTGTAACTTCTTTGAAACTACCTTGCAGCCTCCCCTGAATGCTTTGTATCTGACCAGTGAACCGATGCACGGAAAATGGTCAATAATGATTCTCAAACTGTCTATTAACTTAAGATTTATTTATTTTGTCAGGACTTCATCTAAACCAGCGATGCCGAAAGGGATATTCATGGAGAAATATCGGTTTGAATAACTGTGTGTGTTGCTATTGTGACCGCCCCGTAGGAAAAGTGGAATCGCCTTGAGAAAAAGAGTTTATTGCCAATTCCCGAGGCTACCACTGCTTTAACAAATGACATGAGAAAGACTTGCATTAAAATCCACGTGTTCTTACGGGCGCTAAGGCGCTCTTACCTGCTTGTCATGCATGATGACCGTTGATACTGTTCTCGATGACGTCACGTTACAAAGCACTTCAAACGCGTGAAGAGGTCCTTTCCCATCAGGATCAACAGTACAATAAGAATTCTCTGATATCCCTAGTGCTTCGTACTCAGCACAGGTAGCCCGGTAGAGTGGAATCTCGCAGTGCTGTCCTTGGTAGAAGATGCCTGTACAGTCACACGTGTACTTGCCTTCGTACTGTTGACACGAGCCGCCGTTCAAACAAGGGTTTGGGTAACACATCGATTTGATGTTACATTGATCGAGTTTGGCATCAACTAAACCAGATCCCAATTTTTTTGGCTTTATTCTGACACCATTTATTACGATATGCTGCATACATCCAACAAACCCAGCCCTCTGCGTACCTCGACCAATATACACTCGCGTCCTGAAATCACCCAGCCCTTTAAGTCTTGGGTTAGAATGGCGTACTTCCGGTTTGTCATCCAATAAGAGCCACAGGTCACCTTGATTGACACCGGAACTGACGTCATGCCACATGCCGTCATCAAGGTTGTCTCCTACACTGATCTTGATTGGAGGATCGCTGTTGATGATCACCTCGAGTACTAGAGTACCGCTGGCCAGCCCTACATACACGCGGGAGTGTTGGCTTATTCTAAAGGCGATAATCCCATTCCCCGTGTAAGTACGAAAGCTCAGGCTAAACGTCAGGTTGTTACGAGACGAGTCAGACACTCTGAGGTGACTTTCAACTGTTGGGAATCCGACGGGATGGTAATCATCAGGTGCGCATGCGTAGCCCAGTCCACTTGGAGTGCTGTAATAGAGCAACTGGTACTGTGCACCATAGAGAATGTCAATAAAGTCGAAGTAGACATCCCTCAAACAACCAATGAAATTAGGCGTGTTCCGTGAACCGTGGAAATCTCCCGCCACACTCCTGTCCAGTCCTCCAACATAAATAAACTTATCCAGGTCAAGACGAACGAAAGAGCCTGGGGTGGTTGTGGACTGTTCTACTGAGTCTAACGTCAAAACGATTGTGGTCCCAGTCCGATCCAGCTTGATGATGTGCCAACGGTTATCTGCGAGCCTATCTCCCATGACGACTTCATGTCTTCCTGCGGTACGTGCAGTACTGCCGAGGTCTATTGCGAACCTTAACCAAGACACTAAGGTCAGTATAAAACTTATCCCTTTCCATGAGAATGAAAGGACAAGAGACATGGCTGCCATGTTGTTTGACTTGTTGTTCTTGTCCTTTGTTCCAGTCAACCAACATGGCGGCTATGACGTCACATGCACAAGGACATAAGACATGACCGCCATGTTGGATGACAAAAGACACCAAGATCAAATCCTTTGTTCCAGTCAACCAACATGGCGGCTATGACGTTACTTGCACCCCCAAAATAGAGAAAAGTCATTTTTTACGGCTTATGAGAGGGGGGGG